CCCCAAAACCCCAAAACCCCAAAACCCCAAAACCCCAATAAGTATACATTTTAAATGTAATAATCAATTCTCTTATTATTCAGCAATGAACAGAAGTACTCAGATTCATCCTTAAATGTAATGGTTCCCAGCTCTTTGTATCCCAGCAAAGCATTCACAATGTTTTCTCCCTGGAAGCCTATCTTATGCGCCAAATATTTGTAAAGAGCATACTTGTCTTTGATCAAACTCTTGATAAAGTTAGCGACCTGCTCTGGGGTAAATTTAAAAATTCCGCATTGCTGTTCCAGACTGAATGTATTGTACTGGGCTTCAGATTCGTCTGAGGGATATCTATTTAATTCTAGGAATGTCCAAGTAATGTTGTCAGCAAATCCGTCATTCAAATTTAAATGAGTCACTCCAGGGTTATTTGTAAATACTGGAGATATCGATGGAGTAACCAAAAGTGCCCAAACTGGATTAGCTCTAAATTCTGTCTCTTTTGGATTCATAAAGTCTTGAATTGTAAATTCCTTGTCAAAAAATACTTTTACATCAGCATAATGAGAGTGAGCTCCTGTAACCAATATAATCTTGTGAGAATTTCTTTGAATTATTCTATTAAATTCTAACTGTGCTTCTTGCTCCCAAAAGGATTTTGGTGACTTAATGATATAAACTCCAGGGTAAACGTGGAAGAAGATTACAAATTTACGTTCTGATTGTTCTTGGTCAATAGTATTGGCTAACCAATCAAATTGGGCTTTCTTGATTTGTGTGTCTTTACTTGGGACTTTATTATTGTAATATAAACTATTAAAAGAAATGAACGATATATCGTCTGAGTAATCGTATCTGAAACCTCCGAATTTTGTGAAAGTGTCCCTCATATCTTGAGTTCCAATATTCTTGTTACCATCCATCTTCTCAAAAATAAGATCATACATAAAGGGATAATAATCTGGAGCAGTAACACCTCTTTGAGGAGAAACATAATGATACTTAATATCGTTATTTCCGATTGCAGGGAGAACAATAGCGTTTGGAAACTTTTTATTGATCATCTCTAAGAACACTTCACTAATAGAATCTTTTAAAATTTGATATTGATCGTGAACCTTATCTGTAATTTCAACTGCGATTCCATGAGCAATGAAGTCGCCACTGACGAGAAGTACATCAATATCAGGATCTATCTCATCAAGCTTATCTAGCATGAGATTAATCAGTCTCTTTGGGGCGTCTCACCTATATTCTCCGAAGGGAGATGCGTTGTCTTGAGTGTATCCAGTTATCCATTTGAGAGGAGAGTTATCACTTCTACAATATCTCTGAATGTCAGACCCAGTTTGGTAAAAAGGTTCATAATGGAGGTCATTGATAATTCCTACTTTAACCTTATAGGTACCAGCTAGTGTGGTAGCGAGAAGGATACTTAAAACAAAAGATAGACAGATCTTCATTTATTTTAATAAATATTTTGGAAAGGTGGGGTTTTGGGGTTTTGGGGTTTTGGGGTTTTGGGG